AAAAAAGAAAGAAATTCCAATCCATCCCATTCAAGGTTGGTTCCGGAAAGCGCAAGATGGCTTGTGACTAAAGAGCGTTACGAAGAAGCTGACGTCATTTTGCACAAGGCCGCACGTATTAACGGATCATATGTTCCAGAAAAATGGTAAGCGTAGTTTGTCGTGTGAGTCTAAGAAGGTCACTTTACAGTGAGGAACTGGATCACCTCTAGACTAATCAAAGCAATTTCCAGGTGGGAACAATTAGAAATCAGTCAAAACGGCAAATACACCTCATTTGGCACGATTGACCTCATTCGCACCCCAAAAATGAGAATCAGAACGCTTATCTGCTTCTTCCTCTGGTAAATTCACCATAGGCGATTTATGGCAGACTAGACGCAAATTTGCCACTTTGCAGGCCTGTCAATACCATGATGTACTACGGTCTCACTATGAAAAGTGATCTTGGCGGTGGTAACTTGTATGTGAATTTTGCCATAAGCGCCGCTATGGAAATCCCAGCTCTTCTTCTCGTATATTTCCTGATTGACCGTATAGGACGTCGACAAATGGTCTCAGGAAGTTTGATGATAGCAGGAATTTGCCTTGTCTTGAACTGGATTGTAGGCGATGATGGTGAGCATAAATCTATACTAAGAGCTAAACTAGAAAAAATCTGCGGATGTGCCTTAATTTGCTCATTCCAGTCTCATTCTACTGGGGAATGCTGCAAATGATGATCACGAAGGGAGCTGTGACCGTTTCGTACACAGCGATGTACACATATACCTCGGAACTGTTCCCAACGGTGATTCGTAACACAGCTGTGGGTTGCTGTTCGACGATTGCACGCGTTGGAGCCATCATGTCATCATATATGGCACTATGGCTGGTGAGATCTCATTCACATATAACACTTACGGAAAACGATTCAAAAAGTAAAATTACGGGTTTGTACTTTAATACTGCGTTCTACTGTAGGAATAGCATTAGCAATTGCAAACAAAATCTTTTGCAAACATTTGACATAAATTCAAAGGCACACTGTAATCCTAAAAAGTACTTTTCAAACATGCCGACATAACTGCGACCATAACTTGTACAAATAGGCAAAACTAAAACTGAAGCAAAATTGATCATCTCAGTTGCAAACTAGGGAGAAAATTTTTTTACACAGCTTTTTTTTCGGCATTAATTTCGTCATATGAGACGGCTGGAACTTGTAAGACTAATGCGGAACTTCTGCCTAGTCTCTGATCAATTCTACTGAACTGTGAAAAGGAAATTTGTTAATTAAAAAGATCTTATTCATTGTCAACAGTAGTGAAAAATTTTGTAATAAAGAATGAAGAAAACGAAAACAAAACTCGATAGCGATTAAAGATATGGAAGATAATGGAGTTTTACTAAGTCCTGAGGGTTGAATCTCTTGCACAACGGAGATATGAAGTTTTTTTTTTGGCAGAACTATTTGATTGGAAATTATTACAAAGGCCTGCGAAGGGTAACCCTAAAAAAGCCAAGAAAAAAACACTATGTTTTTTTTTGCAGATAGGTCATCAAAACCACGAATTCAACCTACTTTTCATACTCTTAAATCAATTAGCATGACATGATTAATTAGTTCTAAGACTTCATCACCGGTGCACTTCCTTGTACATTCCTGTATTGACAGCGATTGACCCTAGTGATAGATGCGCTTTGAGTACGCACACTAGATCAGGTTTTCTAGATGATTTGATTTGTCGTTTGAATCAAAAGAACAACATTGATAGTCACACTAGTACAAACATTACATTAAAACATCACTAGAATGGTGGCGAAGTGGGAAGGGGATGATAAGGCAAAAGAGAATATAAAAATCCATCAAAAACCATGCTTAATCAGTTGTTCATTTCAGGTTGAAGCTTACGGAAAACTAGCAATGGTAATCCCGTTCTCCCTGCTTTCTCTAATAGCAGCTATTCTGACGGCGGTATTCTTACCCGAAACTATGAACAAGCCAATGCCTGAATCCATATCTGAAGTGGAAGGCACGAGGATTTAAACGCTGGATTAACGCTCCAAATCGGCGCGTTTCCACATTAGGATGACAGATCTATCATGATAATCGACGAGAATACGGTCTGCCTGTTCACAACGCGACAAATAGTGGATATAGCGCCGACCAATTCAACTACGACACGAAACTAATTTAGTTTTTCGACCTTAACCATAATTATTGCTATTATGCCCTTTTCCCCATTCTATCGCATTTAGGCCAAAGTCAGGGTTTTAGACAGGTGTATGCAATTTGCTACACTAAAGCTTTATTTTCGCTTTGTCTTCTTCTTTCTTGTGCTTAGCCTTTGTTTTTTAGTTGTATGATGCGCATTGCGTG